TTCCCGTTCCAGAGACCTTTGGAACAAGTGCCTGGAAATTAATTCCCCAATCGACGAGGTCGCCAAATAACACAATAAATAGTTAATTAAACTGATTGCTTTGAGGCTGTATATTTGTGGCCCCAGTCTGCTTAAAATGAGCTCTGGCCCAGTGTTCACGGAACATAATATCCTTTCTGATGAAACACGAGTTTAAACGATTGACTGCAAATGTGAATCTTGAAAGTTGCGTGGGAGTAACGCTCGCGGATTCGCTTCGCTTAAAGACAAACAGCTGGAGATTACCGCTGCTGTCTCGCCTGTTTATCTTGGTCCAAATACGATCCGGAGCATTCCTACTCTACTCTGCGATTAGACCGCCACTTACACGTGATTTGAGCAAATGTTGCTCAGAGTTGAGCTTAAAATAGGTCGAAAAAACTCACTTCTGTTTAAAAACGGCTTTTTATATTGGCGTGAACTTTAACATTGCAACTCCACTCTTAGTCGCACAAGTTTGCACACTTCATCCGGATGCACTGATCAAGCGAACAAAAAGCGTTTCGTAAGAATAGCAAATCTTTACAAAAACAATAAAAGAGTTTGGATGTATATTTGAAGGAATCTTACTTCGTATCTTTCAAGTCGCCATAAGTTGAAACGCCTAAAGATAATTTTAAAAGTACTAACATCGGAGTCTGCTACGTTATGGCTTTACTAGACGCAAATTTGGTGACCCTGTTGGCTTGTTAAGTAACGTTTTACGCTTGTTCATGCACGTACATAGAAGTCCACAAACGGCATACGTATTTCAACTATATTCGAAGGATGGTCATTGATCCGGTTACGGGGCCTGCTCGGCCCAGTTATTTCAAAATTGTGGTTGGGTATGACTGACTAATAACGGCCGATAGGGTGGAAGTGGCCATTCCAACCTCCGTTGTCTTTGTTGGCAATCTCGTTCTGCACATATGCGTCATAGGAGATGGCGATGACTATTTGTGGCTCGCCAGCCGTCATCAACCAGCCACACAAATCCAGGTCTAGATGACCTGAAATTCGAAGTCGGATTCTTAGACCGTTGAGGGGCCTTCGTTTTGCCGTTGAATCGCCGGGTGGTTGTCCTTTCGGTTGCGAGCAGGAATATTAACTTGCGCCCACTAGTATATAAAGTGGTCCATGCCGTAGGTCTACTGATCAGGTTACGACACGTGCACGTTCCGGTGTGCCTTTAGGCTCAACACAGAGCCCTCACAGGCAGTCGCACGGCGGCTAGTCATATATTCATCAAGGAGAATCGACAAAGACATATAAACTGTCGTCAGCCAACCATAGTTGCTCTCGGGTCAACGGGTGCATTAGTTTGTCACCCGTTTAGCAGAGGCTACCAGCTCTCAGTCTTCTTGTGACAAAGTGATCGAAAAAATGCAAGTTTTGCTCTGACGTCGTGCCAAGATCGTTACTTTTTACACAGACGTCTTATATATTCCAGTGCCAACAAAGCTTTGAGGGGCAGAAATGACCATTCCTAGCGTAGTAGTAGTCGTCGTCGTCGTCAGTCAGTCACACCCAACCCCAAGTCTAGAGCATCTGGGACTCGAGCCCGAGATCTCTGCTCATTAGGTCGGACATTCTACCACCAAGTCACGAATCCGCTGCCTTTTCGGTTGTGATCAGAGATATTAATTAGGATAGAGTAGCGCTCACCGATCAGGTTGCGGGGTATGCTTATCTTTCCTTGCCTTGGGACTCCCTAAAGAGCTTTCTCAGGCAGCCACATAGCGACTAGTAACATATGAAAATGATAGTGTCGATAAAAACAAGGGAGACCGGAATGGCCATTTATGCCCTTGTGACTCAATACATAATGGTCCCGGGTTCGAATCTCCGATTAAGTCGCTGTGGGGTTGCCAGCAAATACTCGAGATTGAGCCCCCAGGCACGAACATATGAGCGTATCCCGTAATCTGATCGGTGGACCCCATTTTATCATAACGATCAGCAGGGCAGCGGAGCCGTGGATCAGTGAAAGAATGTTCGACTCAGGGATCAAAGATCACGGGTTCGGATCCCAGGCGATCCGCACTTGAGATTGGGTATGACTGACTAATGACGACTACTACACTAGAAACGGCCAATTTTGTCTCTAATGTCTTTTTTGGCACTTCAATATATAAGACGTTTGTGTAAAAAGTGGAAACCTTGGTAAGACGTCGGAGCAAAACTTGCATTTGTTCGATCGCCTTGTTACATGAACACTGAAGGCGCACGCGACTCTCTGAAAAACGTGTTGAACGATAACTGACTGCGGTGATATTTAACATGAATTTCAATAATCATTCCATTTACACATTTAATTATTTCTATAAACTCAAGAAGACGGTCACTGCTGGTGTTTACTTCACCGACTTCGTGACATTGCCACATGACCAAATTTGCACGTATAAAAATACATAACCTGCAGAGTTTCGGAAATGGCAAATTAAAATCGCTTTTCAAAAATATGAAAATGAAGACGTCTTATTGATTATTCTGCCGGAAAGGGTATATACCTATTAGCTGATTGCATTCAGCACGGCATAACAGGCATTGTGCTAATAAACATTCTGTTTATATTTTCCGTTTTTGACAGATCCCCTTCAGTTTTATTCGTAAGTGGTTTCCAACATGGATGAGTTGGCTTGAAGAAGGCTGAATTAACAGGTACAAAATGCAACAGTAAGAACAAACTTTCGCATTAGCCCATTTACTGACCTTATATGGACGGAATTGCAGAAAAATAATTGTTGAGACAAGTGAAATAAAGAATTCGAAGAAGCAGATGATATAAAGAAGACCGAATCATCGAAACAATGATTTCCGTCCGACGTCTCGGATCCACACCAAAAGCCACCATTAGAAACAGCATTCGATATCCAAAGCACCGGTATTTAGTAAGCTGCTGTTGCTATGCCAGCGCATACCTGACGTAAGTTATGTCGTTCCCGCGAACTAACGAACTACGGCTTACTAACCTCATAAACGGAGAGAAGTAAGGAAGGCCAGTAAGTGCATAAAGTTAATATTCAAAATGTGCAACGACCTGACCAGAGAGCACGCAAGCGGCGCGAAGCTTACAAGCGGCGGAGTCCTCGTCACGTTAAAACAAATGCTACAGTAAAAAAAACGTGACAAGATTGTCAAAGGTCAAGTAATCAAGTACTTCAGCAAAGTACCCCCCTCCGAGACCGGAGGGCGGCGTGAACGACGCCGGAGGACATACAAAGGTCTAGGAGAAATGAGTAACTAGACGATCGGGAAAGTGAACGTGACGTCCACTGCGGGTGATATATGCGGGAGGCACTGTTGGAGGCAGCTGAGTAGGTGTTGTAGTGGACAAGTTAAGGGTGGGGGAAGAGGCTGCATTTTGATGCTGCGAACAAGAAGGAAGAGGAAGTATACGGGACAGAGGGATAGGTGGGGAAAGTGGAAAAGTAGTGGGAGGAGGTATGGGGTCAGCACATGCTTGTCCTTGAGGCACGTCCGGGGGCTCCTCTGCAACAGCAGCCTTAACCCGGTCGATGCTGACGACGTCCTCTTTGTCACCTCGCAGGATCCTAAAGGTCTTGCTGTTACGTGCAAGCACACGGAACGGTCCTTTGTATGGTGATTCTAACGGCTTCCGCACACAATCACACCGAACGAACACATGGGTGCAGTTGGCTAAGCCTTTTTCAACATAAGGCTCGGTCGATGGAGCTCGAGGTGGAACCGAGGAAAGCGAGCGCATGAATTGTCGCAGACGATGCCCAAATGTTCGGGGGTCTCTTCGGCACCACGAGAGGTTGGGGTGACCATCTCACCAGGGAGTCGGAGGGTGGTGCCGAAAACCAATTCGGCTGCGCTGCAGTCCAAGTCTGACTTCAGTGCCCAAGAATGCCAAGAAGTGCAACGGGTACATTGTCTGATCAGTTTTCGGGATCTTCTGCGGCACGCAGTGCAGTTTTTAGCTGGCGGTGGAAACACTCAACCATGCCGTTGGCAGCTGGGTGGTAGGCCACCGTCCGAATACGTGTGCAGCCAAGGAAGTTGAGGAGAGTTTGGAAAAGTGTGGACTCAAACTGCGCGCCTCGATCAGTCGTAATCATGGATGGCGCACCGAATACGACGACCCAACGACTGACGAAGGCTTTCGCAATGGTCTCAGCTTGCGCATTCGGTAAAGGAATGGCTTCCGGCCAACGAGTATAGCGATCAACGCAGGTGAGAAGGTGAATATAGCCATTGGATGGAGGTAAAGGACCTACGACATCTAAATGCACATGGTTGAACCGTGCATCGGGGCTGGGGAACGTGCCCGATGGAGACTTGTTGTGGCGTTGAACCTTGTTACGTTGACAGCAAAGGCACGATCGTGTCCAAGCTTTCACATCCTTGTTCAACCCAGGCCATACGAACCTTTCCGCGAGGAGCTTCTGTGAGGCTCGAATCCCAGGATGGGGGAGTCCGTGGAGAGTTTGAAAAACAGCTCGACGCATCGAGGCAGGCACATAAGGGCGATGAAAAGGAGTCGATACGTCACAAAGGATTGTGCAAGTGCCGGTGGTCAATGGGACGTCAATTAGTTGAAGACTGTCAACGGACTCGTCGCCAGGGCATCCAACACGTCGTTGTTCAGCCGCCATAGCACCAAGATCAATCCCGTGTGAGAGGTGAAACGCCGAGAGGGAAGGTCTGGACAGCATGTCGGCCACCGCATTCTTCGGGCCATCAATGTGGCGGATGTCGGTGGTGAATTGCAAGATGTAATCCAAACGAGAAATCTCTCTCGGGTTTTATTTGTCAGAATGGGATCGGATGGCAAATGTAAGTGGTTTGTGGTCTGTGAAAATTTTGAGGTCACGGTCCTCGAGGAAGTGCCGGAAATGTTTTACGGCTAGGTAAATGGCATGAAGTTCACGGCCAAACGTGCTATATCTCGTCTCGGCAGGTGAAAGCTTATTGGAGAAGCATGCCAACGGTCGTGCCGAGTCGTTGATATGCTATTGGAGGACTGCTCCTACGGCAACGGTCGAAGCATCAACCATCAGGGACAATGGGGCTTCTGGAGCAGGATGAGTGAGCAAGGTAGCATCAGCAAGGGAGGTCTTTATTCTCTCAGAAGCAGTCAGCGCGTGGCCACGTAACTCAAGGGGACCCTTGGGACCAGAGAGCAAGTTGGTGAGTGGCAGCATAAGGTCGGCACAGTTCGGTAGGAACCGGCGATAAAAGTTTACCATGCCAAGGAAACGTTGCAACTGACGCTTGGAGGTTGGTGAAGGAAAGTCACGAATGGCCTCAACCTTGGAAGAGAGGGGACGCAAACCTTGTACATCGACATGGTGACCAAGAAAATCAAGGGACGGCACACCCAGAACACACTTCGAAGGGTTAGTGACCACGCCAAACTGATCGAGGCGGTCAAACACTGAGGCAAGATTCTCTTTGCGTTCCTCGGCATTTCGACTGGCCACCAAGAGGTCATCGGTGTAGGCGTACACAAACGGGAGACCACGTAGGACTCGGTCAATGAACCTCTGAAATGTTTGGGCAGCATTGCGAAGACCAAATGGCATGCGAATAAAGTCGAACAGGCCGGATGGTGTGGTGACGGCAGTTTTGGGAACATCCTCATGAGCGACAGGAATCTGATGGAAGGCCCGAACAAGGTCAATCTTCGAGAAAACCGATTTGCCGAAAAGAGCTCCAGCAAAATCTTGAAGATGAGGGACGGGATAACGATCCGGGATGGTCGCATTGTTGAGGGCGCGATAGTCACCACAGGGCCGCCAGTCGTCTGATGTCGCCTTGGGCACCATATGCAGAGGGGACGCCCATGGACTCTCGGACGGCCGAATTATGCCCAGTTGCAGCATGTGCTCAAATTCGGCCTTCGCCGCTTGCGGACGGGACGGAGCCAGTCGTCTAGGCCGTGCGAATACTGGGGGACCAGAGGTGCGAATGTGGTGGACAACGTCATGCTGGATCTCACCACTGCGAAACTGGAGTTTGATTATGTTGGGGTGTTGGAGGAGCAGGTCTCGGTATGGGCAAGCAATACCTGTGTCCAGAACAGATAAATTGCAGGAGTCGTTAAAGGGTGTAAGACCGCGGACAGAAAGACCAGTTGTGCGGTCGAGGAGACAGGAACGCCGACAGTCAACAAGGAGATCAAACTCAGCTAGGAAGTCGGAACCAAGGATCGCATGAGGCACATCGGCAATCACAAATATCCAGGAGAATGATTGACGTAAACCAATGTTTAGCGTTAGGGAACGACTACCAAAAGTGGAAATGGGGGAACAGTTTGCAGCTTGGAGATGTAGACCAGGACTGGGACAACGACGGTCAAATGGAGTGGGGGGAACCACGCTGATCTGGGCTCCGGTGTCAACCAGGAAACGCCTGCGAGTCATATTGTCGCAGACATAAAAGGTGCGACCAGAGCTGGGAGAGCCAGAGAAAACGGTCGCGTCTATTCTCTGGCTGGCTGGTTTCCCTGTTTCGGTTTAAATGAACAAGGGAAAAAACATTTGCGTGCCTTGGCGGCAAAGTTTGTGTGATACCAACACAAATTGGCTGTGCGAGGTCGCGAACGTGAACGATGACGGTTGGGTGAGCGACTACAGGTAATGCGAGCAGGCTGTAGCTTTAGGGTGGCTATCTCATTCGCCATAGAAGCGAAGAGACGAGTCCCACGAAGTAGTCTTGAAGAAGGACACACGATCGCCGGGACAAGAGCTTTATTAGCCTGACGTTTCGGATTCCTACTCGAATCCATCATCAGAGACAAAAGAGCAGAAACGGGTGGTTGTTGCACAAGGGGATGCGGTATTTATAGAATGCAGTAGCCATGCTACCGCATACCTATGAACGTTCACGGCTACCCCCTTCATCCGGGATTGTCACACTTGGTGTGATCATTGCTTGCTGATCGACATTCGAGTCGATAATTGCTGCAATTTCATCACGTGCGTTGGATGTTGGCGTGATGATTGCTCGACCATCTAACGCGTTGACCCGGGTGTTGGGAAGAGTGTTCACCAGTGTGCTCCCCGCGTGGCCAATTACTCCGCCTAGACGAAGTCTCAGCCATAGCCGACATCTGTTGCAGTAACTGCTCGTTAACCGTTGAAGAGGATGTGGAAATCTGAGCAACGGAAGGTGGCTGGAACCGTTGAACCTCTATCATTCGGTCTGCCATTTCAGCAAGATGTGAAAGTGTAAGGTCTTGCGAGCCGGATGCCAAAATCGTTTGGACATCTGCAGGCAGCCGCTCTAAAAACATCTCTTTAACTAGTTTCTCGTCGACCTGCATGTCTCCTAAGAGAGTACGCTTTCGTCGGAGAAGTTCCGAGGGCTTTCGGTCGCCCAGTGATTCCTCCTTGATCAACTGGTGGTAGCGTTGTCGGTCAGATACAGCATTTAGACGAAGGATTTCCGCCTTCAGAGCAGAATAGGAAGCGTCTGCAGGGGTTTCACTAACAAGGGTTGAACTTGTGAGATAATATTGACAGGGAGAACCTCCACAAGTTTGTGGTATTTCGACAACTCCTTCGTAATGTTGGCGGAGTAAAAGGCTGACTCAATGCGGATAAAATAAAGTTCAGGGGCGTGTTGCCAGAAATCAGGCAAAGTGAAATGGACGGCATAAACAGACTCGGCAGGAACGTCAGGTTGTTGAGTTGAGGAAGACATAATAAGCAAAATATAGGTAGCACAATATCGTGAAAAGGCCAGCGGGAAATGTAAATGAACTAAAATTTAGCAAATAGATACAGGACGTTAAATGTCATTAAATGTAACAGAAGGAAAGAACTTAAGTCTGCGCTAACGTCGGGAGGCACCAATGACGTAAGTTATGTCGTTCCCGCGAACTAACGAACTACGGCTTACTAACCTCGTAAACGGAGAGAGGTAAGGAATGCCAGTAAGTGTATAAAATTAATATTCAAAATGTGCAACGACCTGACCAGAGAGCACGCAAGCGGCGCGAAGCTTACAAGCGGCGGAGTCCTCGTCACGTTAAAACAAATGCTACAGTAAAACAAACGTGACAAGATTGTCAAAATTAGCGGCTCTGGTATTCATCGCAAATGGTTGTACCTGATGCGGTTACTGCAGTTATAGTCAGATAGACAGTCTCAGGTGACAGTAATTCACTTACCTGTGCCTACGGATCAGTGGTCGGTCCGATATTTTTAACATAGATAGGAAGGATAAATAAGATATACAACTTGAATTGTGAACTAGCTGGGCCGAGCTGGTTGCGTTGATTTTCTTAGCTATGCTGTTGGCGGCTCGTCTGACTTTCGACGCGACAGTAAACTTGAAGGTGCGACCTTGGCAAGGACAGCAAGTAGCTATATGTGGTAGTGAGCCTGCCTGCCGAACTGTCTCTTTATGTGCATGCAGCAAGATTTGCTTTTGACTTGTATAGCTTAAAGGCCAGTCAACGCAAGGAATACGGGATGGTTTAGCTGAATATTAGAGCTACAAGTCGCCATGCTGCAGCGTTACTCAGGTTCTGGACGATGCACTGTGGCCTAGAAGACGTCGGCACTGTTACATCCGGGGTTCTATTTCATCACTGTCGTCTCTTACTTGCTTCTGGCTAGGCTGTAGGGACATGTTGATGAAGTCACCGGGGTGTCACGCAGACAGACATTCTACCTAAACTTTGCCACCGGCGTGCTGTACTGTGTTCATGATCTCCCGTGTAGTGTCCCTGTGGGGGTCTTATTTACGCCAGCTGCTGGTTATAATGAGAACTGAGATTGCTTGGTGCGTTCGTAGCTCTTCTATATATAGATGTTGTGAAATCTTCCCTTGGTTGTCTGTTGGAGAAGAAGTCAAGGAATGGCACTTTTCGCCCGAACTCTTTCCCCATCCTGAAGTTCATATCGGGAAAGCTGTAGTTCAATGCATCTTGGAATGTGAATGCGGCATCCTTTCTAACGTCGCGAGTGTCACTAACATATCGGCTCCAAACACTGGTCCTTATTATTGAAATTTTCGGCCCTCCAGCTCTTAAAGCATAAGTTCTGCAATAAGTCGGATGGGAAAACCCGTAGAAAATATTTAGATCTCTTCATAGATGCTGAGAGAAATTAATAGGAAGTCTTTTAGTAGATCATGACCAGTTGCATGGTTTCGGTCTTCGTTCTAGAGGTCACAGTCTTTCCTGCGTCGTGCATTATATGCCCACTGATAATTATTAGTCGCCATAATCTGTTTTTCTACTCTAAAAACAGCGTTCTTGCAATGCGTTTTTTCGTATTTGCGTGTTATTTACATTTTAGGAAATCTCTCAGATAACAAAACAAACACTTACTAGTCACGTCATCCTGTGCAGAACGGGATTCACATCCCCCGTTTCATCAGGCGTTTGCACTTTAAGTTTCTGCTTAGTACTATTACCAGATCATCAGTGGTGTGGTGAATAGTTATGACGCGCACTGTGAGGGGTCGGGAATGTAGGGAAAAATCTCACTACTTGTCATTTGTGAAGATAAATGCAAAATTTGGGACATTTGCTTTGTAAATATTATAGACCAGGGCTAATAAAACCTTGCTTATACTGTAGATCCCTGCGTAGATGAGGCCCGAATAAAGACATATGAGGTCAATAACTCACGAAGATTTAAACAATAAAGCACTCAGGTTCTCTCAAGATTAAGATTTAAAAGTAGACAAATGAACTCACATAGTTGAAATATTTTGTACGCAAAGACAGAGGCATTTAAGTCGATGAACGTTTTCAAAACATAGGGCGTTTGAAGGTAACTAGTGGAAGGATCAGTGTATTTGGGGTATCATTTACGAAGATGATTCAGAAAGACTCAGTGGATTTCTCAGTGTCTTGAAAAGGAGATACCAACTTTCATGACGACCGCCATCTGTACAAAGACAAGTTCTGTATCATGGAATGATAGTTCGACCATCGCATCCGACAATGCCCGCCATCTGCTCCACAGCTAGGCGAGGCAGGCATGGTGACTTGCGCGTGAATTAGTTTATAGTGAGAGCAGATTTGCGCAGCATCTATCGCGCTCTCTCGTCCTCCCCCACCTGGGCCAGGTGCCAAGAAAGAGACAAGAAGACCGAAGGCAGGGGAGGGCGCAGGCGGATGGCACAGCCGAGCCCGCACCTCGGCGCTCCACTCCATGCCCCTGATCCAAAGCAGACACTTGACCAGGACTTTGACTAAAAACAACAGAAAAGACGGGATTACTGGGCAGTTATGCACAGGACCTGTATACCCAGTGGGAGCTGTCGGTAGACTGTGGGCCGAGTACTGATGTATTTACTTGCGAAATCTAGTTAAGTGCTGATGGCGTGCAGTTGGACCCAAGAGCGGAGAAACGAAAAACGGAGATCGACTGAACATAAATTGAGGTATAGCAGGAATGTCTGCTAAGGTGTAGGTTCATTTGTTCGATGGTAAGGCAGTCGTTAAGGTGGAACGCCATAGGATATCCAGCTGGATACCTTACCCGCATACATTCATCAATTTACTTGAAAGTATCGCTTTTGCCACCGACCGTCTGGTGTGTTTTCCTGCATTTCATCAGCTTAATGCCCGGCATGCTGTCCCACCCTTAAAACCTCCCGTTGCCACCATTCTCGTAAGACACGATCCACAGTCTACCGACAGTTAATTGGAGTCCTTCACCCTGCCGTTGCCAAAGCAAGCAAACAGAACGAAGCACACTTACGTTACGTTGATAAATCCGACCTGTTGGCATGACATTTGTGATAATCGGTATATACAGCCAGAGTAGCGTTGTGCGATTTCATGTTCTATCGGTTTTTTGAGATGTGAACTTGGAGCAGCGCCCCAGGCCATGATTTGCCAAAGGCAGGGAAACATTATTCAACCGCTGGCAGTCAGTCTTGTCTTCTTTAACCAAGAAACATTAAAATATTTGCCCTTTCATTTTCCTCGAATATGGTCAATTTTTTCCATTGAGGTCTCTACAAACGAGGGTAGACCTTTTATATGCGCTTCTTCCTATTTATGTTTTCATCCGCTTAGCCATCCAGACAACTGATTTTATTTTTAAGGCGTCATAGTTTCGCCCGACTCGCTCATGTTTACATTCTCCCGGTAGTTTGGCACAGAAGGTCCGCGTGTGGGTCATCATTAACTGTCTGATTTTAAATCATTCAAACAGGCACTCTTCGAAAACGCAGGGAGCTTCGTCAATTTTAGCCTGGTGATAGTAATTTTGTGGTCATTGCAGCAAACTGGAGGAAGGAACACGTGAGACCTTCTCGGCCATACATTAAGGGCTTTTCAGAAGCGTCTGAGCGCATTATTGCGGAGCTAGGCGTTGGAATTGCACATTGATCCAAGATTACTCTGCGTGGCATGGTAATGAAAATCTAGGACGGGCTAACTCCTCAGGAGCAG